AGGAAAATCTGGATGCCTCAAGCAAACAACGCACCCCATTCTTCGCTCTTACCCCGCCTTGACATCAGCATGTGCTGATCTGAAGCCATTATGGTCAGCGCAGAAAAATGATGTAATGCTCTTGGCCAGCAAGCAGAAAAGCAAGCAAGCATAATTACAGGAGTTAGAGTGTGAACTCGTGCCCAACGGTCTAGGGGCGTCCCATGACGCATTCAAACTCAAACTCCTTGTATGTTAGCATGTATGAACGGATCAAATTCAGAGTCAATCCAGATACATTTGTAGTCCCATTTGAATACATTTTTGAGGCGAAGTCTAATGAACAGACCAAAGCAAAATAATTTTTATATTAAACATTCCCAGAGGATTTACATAACGACACATTTGCAACGCCTCTCGTCGGCATCTATATAACTGTATCGATTATCTTTCGCCGGCACATTAGGTGAAATAGGAAATTCCGGTTCCTCCGGTTCTGCTAGCTTTCTCATCAGTCGCACCAAAGTAGCAAATGCACGTTCAATGTTTACACCGAGCTTGGCACTATAAATCGAATTATCGAATCACAATTAAAAGTCAGAAAATGAAGAGATGGGAAAATGATCCAGATAGTTGAACGAAACCTTGTCTCTAAAAATTCCGCTCCAAATGACGAGGCAAACTGTCGACCTTCGAAATCTGAAACTTCCCGTAAATCCTTTAGATCGCATTTGTTGCCTATCACAATTATCGGAATCTTAAGTAACAAAATACAAAGCATAATGAGTGTTCAGTGCATAAACATCACTTAAGATGCCGACTACAGAGCTCAAATGTCCGGAACCCCAATGCACTCACCTTGTTCTCTTCCTTCGCATTGAATATTTGCTCCTTGAATGAGCGTAATTCCAGAAACGAGTCCCTCGAAATTATATTATAGACCATTATAAAGCCATCTCCATTTTTTATGAATTTGTCGCCCCAAAGACCGCTAAAATGTTAAAGCAAAATTAGACGACTTGCATGTTAATTCATTCGTCCCTAATGACCATTATCGTACCGATACTCTTCTTGCCCAGCTGTATCAGTAATTTCTAAAGTGCAATCTTTTCGGTCGACCACCCATGACTTTATATATGAATCCTCTATTACGTTATAAAGCCGAGGAAGCAGAAGTGGTCAAAATCACATCATAATGGAATGAGCCAGGAACTGGCACATGAAACAAAAAATGATTAGTTTCTAACCTATTGTTGGATCATATCTGCGTGAAAAAATTTAGATATATGTCAGTATAAGAGCCACCATAGCTGTCCTAGACTATCTGAGTAAACACGTACTCTTCCACGAATCTGAAGTGTCGCCATAAAGGTTTGTCGGGGGTGAAATGTAATATGCAAGTTATTTTAAATATTTACAATGGCTCATGAAGACGAATTTGAACATACTGGTTTCGCATAAACTGTAATGTTATCGCACTCTATTTTATAGATGGAACCATGTAAGCATTTCGCGATGGGGTAATGATGGATTGAGATGTGGAAGAAGGACAAGACATACTTTTCCGGTACCACCACTCCCCACAACAACAACGGAAAATTTATCTCCTGGCATGCTCTTTATGTGAATATAAGTTAAATAGTATTTGTTAGAATTTGACGTTCATTGGGAGAGCAAAACCTCGACGAATTTCTCCACGCCTCAATCTGCCGGTGAGTTTCTCGAGTTGTCAAGCACATCGAGGTACGGTACTTTCGCCACAGTGCGACGGTCACGTGGAGTCCTAAACAACTGTCTGTAGTGTGACGGCAATCGCTGACTACTGAAATCAACTTACGATGGATAAGGTTTGTACAACTTCTGTGCCAACAATTGATAAGGTTTAGTATTAACTCAGCACGCCAGAAACGACAACTCTCCGACCAATTTGCCACCTTCAGCAAACGACCTAAGGTCAACAAGAAGTCTCCAAAGTATAGGCTGGACAATCAACCCAATGGGCCGTCTTCAAACTCGTTTAACAATAATTCAAGATCCAGAGTGTTGATTGCACGTAACCAAAGAGGAACAGGTAGAAATTATACAGTCAGTGTAGCTCTGCCGGGGAGTATCATTGAGAATGCTCAAAGTGCGGAGTTAAAGACATATCTTGCGGGGCAGGTTCGTTCAGTTGGATGCAATTGGCGCATTTAAATATTATATGCTTACCGTGAATGCAAGATTGCCAGAGCATTTGCGGTATTTAATGTAGATGAAATCATTATCTACAATGAATCGAATAAGCCAATGTCAGCCGCCTCGGAAGATTCCGGCAGATCAGATCCTAATATATTCCTAGCTAGGATATTGCAGTACCTCGAATGCCCCCAGTGCGTTTCCTCAGTTGATATTATATCAATACCTCAGCGTATTAATCTATCCTATGATGTAGATATTTACGGAAGAACTTTTTCCCTGTTCACCGAGATCTCAAATTTGCTGGGCTATTGAACCCTCTGGACTGTCCTCACCATGTACGAATAGATGAATATACACCTTATCGTGAAGGTGTCGTTCTTCCGAAAACTACCAAATTACCTTCTACGTCCGCGTTAACAACGCACGTTTCGCTTGTAAACTGTGGTCTTCGGAAAGAGGTCTCCATAGATAAAAAGCTAAAACCTGGCGTGCGAGTTACAGTTGAGTTAACGGAACCAATAGAGCAATATCAATCAGGGAAGGCAAAATTCACAGGCGTGGTTGTTAGCCCGGCCAAACCGAGGGAAGAAAGCGGCTTATACTGGGGCTATCAAGTTAGGTTAGCAGAAGGGATTAACAAGGTGTTCGAGGAATGTCCGTACGAGGTGTGTTGAGAGAGTTTAGTTGATAGTATCGTAATACAGGAATGCCAACTGATTCCTCTTATTAGGGTGGTTACGATCTAACTGTGGGGACATCTGAGAGAGGAAAACTTATGGAGGAAGCAAAAGAGTCAATACCTGAATTTCGGTTCGTTGATATGCCTTTGTCAATCCCTTCAAACACTCGTTCTCATGTGCCGTCATGCTAAACTTACTTTATCTGTCTTCAGACATCTCTTAATTGTATTCGGTGGCCTTCGTGGTATCGAAGCTTCAGTAGACGCAGATGAAACTCTAAAAATTTCATCAGAAGATGCGGGCGATTTGTTTAACCTCTGGATAAATACTTGCCCAGACCAAGGCAGCAGGACGATCCGGACAGAGGAGGCCGTATTAATTACGATGGCTAAATTTCAGGAGATTATCTCGGTGAAAGGAAAAAAGTGATCCTGAGCAATTGCCGTATAGTCAACCTTATTTATATATCAATTTTAACTAGACATCGTAAATGCAACAAAGAATAAAACTAAATTACATAATACACAACATTTTATACTGAATGTTATGGTGATCTAGGCAACGAGGTAGTAGGCGGCAGCAGATACTATCATCGCACCTGCAGCAAAAATGAACAGCTTGTCATGACTTCCACCCTTGTATTTCTTTTCGTTATCAACCATCCAAACTCCATTCCACTTTTCCTGAGTCTTGATCCAATCTACTGTCAGCTTAATTCCCTCGTCCATGGTATAAATAGGTTTATAACCTAATGATTTCTTTGCTCGTTTAATACTGTATGTTCTGTTCTTCGTTATCAAACCGACTCGAAAAACAGTGAAAACGGGACTCAAGTGAACAAAAGGAGAAAGTATCCAGACAAATAAATCAGATATATAAGCGAGTGTCAGTGCAACTGCGATCGGCAGATGAATAGTTTGGATCGAACGCAGAACGGGATGTGAAGGAGGAAGAAGGGTCAGCGCGAGTCGTTTAGGCATGTCCCAGAATGGAATGGGCTCATCATTTGTAATGTGGAAGGCCTAAAATGGAAGGTACAGTCAGCAAAATGGAATGGTCCATACAACATGCAGCACTCCATTACCTTTCCATCGACTCCATTTTCTCGTTCCAATTTTTCACAGGCTAATACATGAGCATGTGCTACGTTCTCGACGTATGTGAAATCAAACAAATTATCTCCTGATCCAATTACCACTTTCAACTTTCCTTGTCGAATGGCCTCAACCATATTTGGAATAGCTTGGCCGTCCCTTGGTCCAAATATTCCAGATGGTCGAATAGCACATGTCAACAGGGGGTACCCTTCATCGGTCAAACTATTGTTTGCTTGCAAAACAATCTCTTCCGCTATCGCCTGTTATATCAAAATTAATTCAGATTCGGTAACATGTCAATTCGAGTCAACGAGAAAGTGAAGCGGATTATCCAAATAAACCTTTGTTTCATTGTAAGAATCGTAAGGATTTGCACAGTATTCTTTGTCTTCATCAACCATCACTAAATCAGAACCATCAAAGACAACTCCAGCAGAGCTAGTATAAATCAATTTCTTGACACCGGCCCTTAAGCAACACTTGATAACGTTCTTTGTTCCTTCGACATTCACATTTTCATAGAACTTTCTACCCATACCATGGGGAGGCGAGGCAGTGTGAAAGACAGCGGTAATTTGTTGCGTCTTCAAAAGGGAAGTGATATCATCGAGAAGCGAGGCTTGATGGTAAGTCACCGATGGATGTGATGGATAGCGGGATTTCGGAAATAAGTCGAGAATATGTATTTGAGCGGAGGGATGTGTTTTCAATAGTCTTTCTACGATATGACGACCAAGAAAGCCGTCGCCTCCAATGATGAGGAAGGATTCCTTTTCAGTGTATGCCACCATGCTCGAGTCAAAAGATTAAAGTTGTGGTGATCAGAGTCCGATGGTGTAAGAATGGTGCGCGGTTTGATTGTAAAAGGACAAACACTAGCACGACATCTCGGATTCGGAATGTGTTCGGATAAGCAGTAATGGCTCGACTGAAATCATTGTATTTCCGTAATGCTCATAAGCATCACTAATTCCAATCTCCTGTTCGTATTATTTTATGTAATTCAGACTTAATGGTCAGACATTACAAGGTACTTATACTTTTGCAATCAGCTGGCCGTGAATCTGATTCAATGGTGTAGTGGTTATCACGTTCGCTTCACAAAAGTGTCCGCGAAAGGTCTCCAGTTCAATCCTGGATTGAATCATTTTTATCATAATCTTTTTGTATGGTCGCAAACCAAGGGTATTGGGGTTCAGTTCACGAAATATTAGGCGATCCAGAGACGGTTCAGTAGCATTTAATTTAGGCCAATACATGGCTGGTGAGCTATCAATATCAGCCGTGCGCCTTTTTCAATTGAAATATATACAAGTTTAATTAGGAATTTTTTGCCACCAAGACTTTAGTCTAGAAATATTAGAAACGGAAGATATGCGGTCGTATGCTTGGAAATTACAACTGCCTACTCTCTATTGCACGTATCTGCACCTTTATTGTACGAACTGGCACCAAATTTATCCAATGATTTCTGCTACGCAAGTTCAGGAGCAACTTCGCCTGGGATGACTTTGTAATAACCTGATGGCTTTTGGAACATTCGCCTGAGATCAACTTTGGCAATTTGAGCATCGTTAAGCATTCTAAAGATGGGTGGTCGTCGTTCATACAGAAGTGACATAATATGCGGGGTGACATTGATTACGGCAACATGGCGGACAGAATTCTTCCACCTCAGTCGTAACTTGACAATACAGTTCTTAGTTTCTGTAACAGGGGGACGCGATGTCGGGCTGATTTAAATCTTCGCGCCATGGTACCCCATCCTGCTAAGGAGTGAATTTGCCTCAAGTCCAGTTTCTGTTCTTCGACCGCTTAGTTTTGTCTTCTTGTTGGTAGCACTCTGCTAATATCTCTTAAAGTTTGTGGGTAATCTAGACATAGACGTTTTTTGCGACATACTGAGAGTTTAGAAGTCGCATTAACCTTAGACCGCCCTCACCAGAACGCATCCACAATTTTTTTTCGGTAGACGTTTATTTAAACACAAAACTTTTTTTAACTAGAGGAAGAGATGAAGAGAATCAGTATTACCATCATCGCTGTTCTTGCCTTGTTGCAATTCACTGATGCCGTTCCTGTCCGTAATGTCGAACGAGTGAACATTGCAAATCCGTATGCTTACAATCCGTATGTCCCGCCAACAACCGAGTCAACTTCATCGATCGTAACGACGACCACTCAGTCTTCTACCTCGGTTCCTCCACCTCCGACCACAACACATACCGAGGGATCTACTAGCAGCACCTCTACTGCAACCTCCACCGTAGTCTCTACAACTCCCTGCGAGACCACACCTACTCCGGTGACCAAAACCGAAGAGTCAACCACTCCCTGTGAAACTACCTCGACAGCAACAAAAACCGAGGTTTCGACCACTCCCTGTGAAACCACCACTACTTCAGTGACCAAAACTGAGGAATCGACTACTCCCTGTGAAACTACCACTTCGGTGACCAAAACTGAGGCGTCGACTACCCCTTGCGATACTACCTCCACTCCGGTAACAAAAACAAAAGAGTCAACTACTCCTTGTGAAACTACCACAACTGTTGCACCATCGGAAGTTCCCACATCCTCAACACCGTGCGAGACTCCCACTCCCGCTCCTCAACAACCCTACAATCCTGGACAACCTCAGTACGACGCTCCAGCTAGCCCTGACTATCCTAGAAACTCTTACGGCGGCGATCACCAGGAGTATCCAGGCGATAAAAATCAAGGTTTGTTTAATTTTTTTTTGGCAGTTGCGGAACCGCGAAACTAACGGGACCATAAAGACCATGGAGATTACGGTCCTAGCCCTACCACACCCGAAGAAACTTCGCCCGTGAATCAAGAAGAACCGACAGTGACTGAAACTGTGGAAGTTGAAGAGGAGGGTTTGTGTTGCTTGATTTCTGGCGCGGATCCACCTTGGAAAAGAAACTAACTTTGCGCAGAGTGCGAAGAATATGAGGATGAATCTCCATCCGAGACTTACCCTGCTGACATTCCCGAAGAAACAAGTCCAGTTGAAGAAGACGGTAGGTCGCACGCGATTTACAGACTTTAGTTGCTGCAGTTGTTTATGTATTGATTTATACTCGTCGTTATTTACAGATTGTGAGGAATATGAGGATGAAACTCCAACTGAGACATATCCTGCCAACATGCCGGAAGAAACCAGTCCAATTGAGGAAGATGGTATGTCCGCGAATTTATTAGATTTCAAAGATGCGTTCATGTATTCATCATTATAAATGGGGTTGTAACAGATTGCGAAGAATACGAGGATGAAACTCCGACCGAAACGTATCCTGCTGATATGCCTGAAGAAACAAGTCCGGTTGAGGAAGACGGTACGTTACCAAAATCTTTAAATTTTCTGTTAAGTCATACATTTATATATTCTGATTTTGCTGAATCTCAGATTGCGAAGAATATGAAGACGAAACCCCAACTGAGACATATCCGGCCGACATGCCCGAAGAAACTAGCCCAGTTAATGAAGATGGTATGGCAATGAAATATTTTAGTTGATTAGGTCAACCATAGATAAGTTGATGCTAATACTTAACCGACAGATTGCGAGGAGTATGAAGATGAAACCCCCACTGAGACTTACCCCGCTGACATGCCTGAAGAGACCGCCCCAGTTGAAGAAGATGGTATGTCACCTAGAGATTTTATTTTATCAATTCATATATTCATTGTTGATTATCGTGTTTGACAGACTGTGAAGAATATGAGGACGAAACCCCCACTGAAACTTACCCGGCTGATATGCCCGAAGAAACACAACCTGCTGACGATGGTGAGTTTACGGAATAATGATTGTGTAATATATTACATTTAGCTTAATTGTTATTTTTCACAGAACATCCCGATAAACCCACCGAAAGCTATCCAGCTGATGTTCCGGAAGAAACCAGCCCAGTAGATGATGGTGTGTACACGTTTCATAATTCTTATTTGCGGGCACTGTTCTAACTGTTTCGACAGATTGCGAGGAATGGGCAGAAGTAGATGATGACACTCCGTCCGAAGCTTATCCAGCTGACTTGCCAGAAGAGACCAGCCCCGTGGATGTGGAAGGTGAGTGTGAAATCGCGTCATGATCATAAAGTCGAATTGCGCTGACCCTCTTATTCCTAGATTGCGAAGAATGGGAGGAAGAAGAATCTTATGAAGATGACGATTGCGAAGAATACGAAGATGAAGAGACATATAACTACAGTGCTTAGGTTGTTGACAACCGCACAGATATAGTATTATCCACCAGTACCCTGTGTATTTTTAAGAGTTTGATTTTAGTTAATATAGATAGAAAACTACATTTTTTTCTCTGTCATAAGATATAATTTTTCGGTATAACATTTTCTCTTGCCGCATTTCATAACCGTTAGATATAAGCACGGAAATAAACTAGTTACTATTTTTGGATTCGATCGTATTCAATTGAATAAATTTCCTGCCAATCACGTTCCGCCCGAAGCCACTTGATGCGAGGAATCTTTAACTTCTTTGCTTAATTCACTTTCAAACTAGATACTGAACAACTTTCGTACTTTTTGAGCGCTTAAAGAGGAAATCGATTATTAGATGGAATCAACTTCTTCAGGCGATGTTCAACCGCTGGGTTTAATTGAACAAGATGACAAAACGTCCTTAGAGGCGCCCCAAATTGACAGTGACAGTATCATTGAAAATTACAGCGAAACTACCGAAACTGACGGAGCGGACAGCGCCACGGAAGATCAACGTCCGAACGATAATGCGGAAGGGGCCGCAATTGGTGCGGGAACAGACAATGTAGAATTAACAGGGCCGAAGGAATCCTCCTCGAAGGTGGTATCGGATACGACGAAAGCAGGAATTATAGAGAACTCTAGGATAGATGAAGCTCCTCCTACCACTGTATCCGTATCAAAGAATGACGAATCTACTTCACCCTCGCCAGTATCACCCCAAGCAGTTCAATCATTCCTGCAAAACTTGCCACCCCATATTACCCCGGCCCAAATTTTAAAGCAATTTCCACAGTTGTCAAAACTTCCCGAAGTGAAACGTTTGCTCTCATTGTCTGCATCAGCTTCGAAAAGAGCTTCCATTCTTGCTCTCCCGTCAAACTTAGTTTCAGATAGGCAGCAATTCTATGAACAGCAAATCGTGCAACAGACAGAAGCAGCGGACAAAGGGAAAGACGCATTCGATATTCAAAAATATATCGAGTCATATTTCGGTATATCATTAGAAGATTTGGAAAATGATCAGGATTCCGAAGACGTTAATACTCAGAACGACCAACGGAGAAATTCCGCTATCATTCCTACTCCGCCGATGACACCACCAAACCGCCAATCTCCCTCCCGCCCTCCACATCCCAATAAAGAGCCAATTCTTGGCAAAGTCCATAAAACTGTACGAAAGATGGCAAGCCAGTGGTATCTTGACCGCGACGACAGGAAAGTTTTCACGCCGAAAGAGGAATCGTCATCGGAAACGCAAGTTGCGGTGGCGGCCTTGTTTCAGTCGCTACATCAACTTGTTGAATCAGTGGAACTATTACTGGCGTCAGAAGAATCAAGTGTCAACTTGTCTGATCTAAACATAATCAAGCCGGAGTTGAAGAGAATGAAATGCATTATTGCAGAGCTAAAGAATGAATATGGTGCAGATACTGACGAAGGATTAATGAAGTTCGTCGACAGAGCAAAATTAATGGATTGGTGGACCCAAGCTGGGGAATTTAGGAAAGTTGTCGACAAGACTTTACTTCGCGAATGGGATCCAGTTAAGCAGGAAGGAAAAGAAAAGAGTCCCGAAGAATTGGAAATTAAGTTGCTTGGGAGCCTTCTGCGTAAGCTATTTGCAGCTTCGATGAATTCTTTATTAAGTTATTAACAATCTATTTCGTTTTGAAGTAAAATGCCATCGATTTTTATCCCATCACTCGACTGCTATCCATTCCCATCCTTTGCCCACTCTTGTGGCTGGCTCCCTCGATTTCAACTCTCTGTCTGAATTCGCTCTGCCGCTCACCAACGGCTCCATATTTTGCCACTTGTTCAATGAATTTGCTTTGGAAAAGCAATGTCTCAAAAAGGAACAACAAGACAATGGCAGTGATACCAGTAATGACTCGTTGAAGATACAGCCAATTTT